CTCGATTAAAAAGAAATACTAAATATACTTGCCATTGCGCCGGAAAGTCCAAGCTGCTCTTGCCGTCAAATTTATAAAACTAGTGTGGTAATGTGATAGTTCGAGTTTAAAGTTCATAAAGTGATGTCCAATCTGCGTTATTATCCTAGATAATCGAGATATGTAAGCTTCAAGTGAACCTTTTGTAGAAATTGAATACAACCAATACAGTTTAAAAATTCATCAAAGTCTGTCTAGTCACTATTACACGATATTGCAAAATTAGATCCATATTCTCTCTCTCTCTCTCTCTCTCTCTCTCTCTCTCTCTCTCTCTCTTCATTTTCTAAGACAGAAAAAATAAATATCCACACTTCCAAATCTGTACTTGTCATAGGTTTTATGGTTGTAAAGGACATTGTTATATGAATTAAACATTTACCATCCATTTCACCTGTACAAGCTTAGATAAGAGGATGATAATGATTAGGACGGGGTCAACATCAGTTCATTAAAAGCGTTCGGGCCTGACGATACATAAGACACTACGAAAAGGCTTTAAATCCTGATAAATACTTACATACGCTTATCGAACTACGTACAGGATATTTATGTAAGTAGTTTTAAAAATTATGAAACTTTCTGATATATTTCTTACCTACTTATATATATAGATTATATTCTTTTATTGAGCAATATTTTCATCCCCTATTAGAATGTGAATCTTAATGATCACAGGTTTTGTTTTGTTATCATAGTCATATGATGCATGAAATTTGATTTTTTCCCCTTTTTACAGCAAACACAATTTGACTGTAACAATTCAACTTAAATCGACGGCATTAAAAATTCCTGTTTATCGAAATTGCTTTTCCTGGCCTCTATTTGCAATTTTCTTGAGTCTTTGACCTTGTTTTTATACGATGGGTATGCAAATATTGTTATCAATGCTGAAATCAACACTGACACACCCACTTGGCCACTAGAGTAGTGAAAGCTGACCCGAACACTGATAACCTATTACAATTTTATCAAGCGTGAGAAACCCTTCCTGTACCTGTAGGGAAACAGTCAACATTAGGTCGAAATAAGTGTCTTAATTATCGATATATCAGTAATAATCAGTAAATCAGGTACTATCAAGCGGTTTTACGTGTCCATTAGGTAAAAATAACTATACGGTATGGCGTGGTGTAAAAAAAACCATGTAATGATTGCAGATGGTGATTTTGTGTCTTTATATACATTATGATAGAACCTGGCCGATTATTGCTAGGTGTGGATTGTATAAATAGACAGTAATATTAAAAGATAGTAGTTTCCATATAAGTTGCTGTAGGCAATTGTAATGCTTGGCAGTAAGAGGATTTTTCAGGCGAAAGTCTGAAATTCTAATCAAATATGTGAGCCAGAGATGTTTTTCCTGATGATGTTTACATTTCAATTGTCATCAGATGTTGGAAATCTAAATTTCAATCTACAGTGTCACGGTTGATAGTATTCTTAAATCAGTACAAGGGCATTTTTATTGTATGAGACGACTGTGTAGCTTTCCTCTAGTAATCGTGAGACAACTTATATATAATTCGAGATTTTTATTCTAACGTTAAATTAGACATCGGGTATCCTCCATTTGTACAAGGTGACCACACGAGAGTTTTCTGTGGATTGGTGTCTGGCGAACATTTGTGTTGATATCAAAAATCAACTGTAATATATAACCAGTCATTACAGTCATACCCCACTGATTCTCATCCTCCTTGATCTATCACTACTCTCTAACGTCACGATCTTCACAAGAAAAGTAAAGTGGTAAGGTCCTAGAAAGCACTCTCAAAAATGTTAGGGTGATTGCCCCAAAAATACATTTACTGACGTGATTAAATGTTGTTAGGAATGTGTAAGGCTAAACGGTGTTTGAAACGACTGCAACCATAAAAGCAGCTGAATTGTTTAATACGAGATCATGTGATCGTTAGGCAATGTTATATGGCGTCAGTGTAACGTTTACATCATCTATTTTTAAGTAAATGATCTATATTTTGAAAGGTATTTGTAAATACTTTCAGGTGTAAGGTGCGACAATTATGATAAAGTATTCTCTGAATTTAAAGACCAATTTAATTTCAAAATTCTGTATCATTCTATTAATATTTAAAATTAATAGAAAATTAAATAAACCGTTTTGAATGGCCTAACTAACGATTTTTTACATGTGTTAGGTTTTATTTCGTTGATAGTTTTCTAAAATTCGCTTGCAAAAATGCCATGAATACAATACCGCATCAATGGTAATTTTAACGGGTCAAAATTTTCTTTAAAAAGCTCACATTTATATTCTTAAAAATTAAAATATTGCACGTTTGATGTAAGAGAACATCTTATAACAACGTTTCTCATTATTGCAAGGGCTAATTTTTCGCGATCAATGTAATGATCAGGTAAAAAGCGAAAATATTCCCCCGAAAATAAGCGAATATACGGCATCTGGTTTGGATCTTAGATCCAAGATGACTGCAAAGTAACCAAGACCTAAGAAAAATATAATTATCTAGTGAATTGTATCCGATACTCCCTTATCTTAAATATAGGTCGAACCAGTTAATCCAGTGAAAACAGGAGTACCAAATCTTCGACCAAAAAACTCAATAGTGTTTTCTTAGTAAATTACTTTGATCCTGAAATCCAGGAATAACATAGCACAGCAACAGACTTTTTTGTTAAACATTTTTAAGTTATAAATGTCAAGAGTTCTTTAGGAATTACTGACATCAGTAATTGTTCATCTTTGGATGTCTCTTTCAAGTCCGTATCGAGCCTTATATATAAGCTTTATTTACCAACACGCATACAGTTTCGCTAACTTTTTCAATGTTGTTTTGTATTGGCATCTGTGTTGAAGGAATAATATTGACTAAGCTACAATTGCATCTGAAATGTACATATAGTAATACAACATTGTCCATATACATATACACTTACGTTCAGGAAAGCTTCACGACAAACACACAGCAAACATTTTTAATGGGGACATCATCATGTTTCACATCATCATAGACGTACTAAAACATCAATGATCGCAATGGACATTCACTTTGCTTTAAATATTGACCCGTCCTAGATGTAATGGGTTACCTATAATGGGATAATAATTTGCAGGTATGGATTCGTCATTTTTTCAATCACGACGGAAACAATAGAAAATTATGTAGGTCGACAAAGTGTTCATTTTGTATCTTTCTGTTGGTAACAGTGCAAAGAGTTCATGACAAACACACATCATGCCATATGGGTTTATTTGCTTTCAACAAGATCGAAGATAAAGGTCAATGCACTGTGTTTTTATCTGTATGCTATAATATAATAGTTTATGGTAAGGTCTGTCATTAATCACGTCTATTATGCTGAAGGCCGATCCTACTACCAATATATGTGACAGCCTTAACACTAATTAGTATCATATTTCTCAGAATCTGATTACAATGTATTTTACATTATATCAGTTGGTTCCCATAGGTATGCCGTTAGTCTGTTGTACTTGCGACTTAATTAACTAGTTTTAGAGTGAAATATTACACGTGTTAATAATTCAATATAAAAATAACTCAAACTGTGAATTGTCTAATACAAAGATGGCAGTATCACCTCTCACATTTACATTAAGCCACAAAATACATCAATAGATGCATTTGAATTTTACCCGAGATGCATAGACGGAACCCATAACAATATACAAAGGACATACATGTAAACACACAACGTTATATTCCTTTTCTACTTCAGTTGTTACCAAATACTGCACTTTAAACAACATAGAGATGTTGATACTTCTTTTTTTTTTCTATTGCCAAGTTCGCTACGTGAGAGATTGCCTATATTATTAATTAAAAAATTGACGGCATATAGATGTGTATTGTCCTCATTGTTCTTAAAATGGATAATGAAACCTTGATGGAATATCGGGTTTTCTATCTATTCAACTTGTATTAGGAGGTATATATATATATGATAATAAGCTATGAAAATCATGTTCATTGTCGAAGAATTCTGAATTGTAATGAAAATGATTTTGGATAAAAAAAAACTTTCTTTATACTATGTTTATGATAGATAGTACTCAAAAGGATCAAATTATGTCCGATCGTCTTCAGATTGGCCCAGAGTTTTTGCTTTCCCTCCTTTCTTTCTCATTATTTACAACTTATGTGAAATATCAAATAGAGATCGTTCGATAATTTTGTTTTCAAAGTGGGAATGAATGACATTTTAAACGTTACAGCAAATCTGTGCCTTGCTGTTCATTGCTTAATAATACTTGCTTGCCGCGTGTACTTTTACCACGAGATCCATGTTTTTGTGAGTACTTCTATCACGGGATCCATGTGATTTGTAAGTTTTCTTTCACCAACAACGACAATGGAGCAAAGCAGGACAAACAAGTCTGAACTTATTGGATTCGTGAATCTTATCTGTAAGAAGGTGAAAAAGAAGCTGCAGCAAGAAAGCAGAGAGTAGGCACTTCAGGAACAAGATTATAAACAGGAGTAGTGAAATGACGGGCAGGAGATCGATGAACTAGAAAAAACTCATCAATAGAGAAACAGAAAGAGAACAAAGCGGAGCCACTTCAGGAACAAGATTATAAACAGGGGTAGCGAAAAGAGGAGCAGGAACTGGTAAAAACCATTAATAGAAAGGACAGAAAGAGAAGAGGGTGTGGCATTCAGAACAGTAGCAGAATGAGCAGAAGAAGAATGTAGAGTAGAGAAGGAGCAAGTGCATGAGGACCAGCAGACAGCAGAATTAGGATAAGCAAAAACAAAAAGAGAAGCAGGAGGGTTAAATAAATTTAGTTAGCTTTCCTGCGTATTTTAATTAGCGAACTTTTCACGTATACACGTCCTACCATTGGTACATTCCAAAAATTCATGTCGGAAATTTGGCTATTAAATGCCCCAAACACACCACATTGGCGATGCCACCAAGGTCCATATATCGCGGCACAATTAGCATGAACATACAAGTCGTTATCGCTGTCGACTGTTGTAAACTTCATCAAGTTATGCGCATAAAATCCAGCATAATCTGCGTAAGAATACGCATTTGACAGATATTCTTCGGTCACAGACATTTCGAACAATGTACTAGAGTTGCCAACCCTGAAATTTGTGTATTGGAAATAAATTTGTGAGTTATTCAACAACACTAGATCAAAATGAATCTGACTATCTGTCCAGGTCAACATGTGGATATAGGAAAGACCAAGCCAGTGGTCACCCACAGGACTACCCAGTCCATTCACCATCTGAGACCAGCTGGCCGTAACAAACTCTACGTCGCCGAGGGCCTGTTTTTGGAACACAGTCCAGCCGCCGTTAGACATGTCACAGTAAACTTGTACTGGAGTCGAGCCGTCCGGCTTTATCTCGTACACTCCATCTGAATGTCTGCCGGTCTCGTACAAATTCAGACAATCTGTCAAAGTAACAGGACGTAAATCTGTTGAGAAATTCACCCAGTTTTGAAATTCGTTTTTATAACTTCTGTAATGGCAGATAATCACATAATGTGACATTGACCATAATGGCTAACATCATCGCAAGTTATAAAAGCCTATTTAACCAATGGCTGTTCAAAGCAAATTGTTATGAAAATTCCAGTTGACTATTATGTCTTACGGCTCTTTCATGTTCTTTTTCTTCTGATTGATACATACCTGTGATGCATGCCTCGTGTTCCGAATCGAAGTAGGTTCCGTTCGGACAAACACACAGACCGTTGGTACATACGGATGATGACACCATCACACAATCGCCATCAGAGACGCACCCTCCAGAACGCATCACTACATAATGATACCAAGATATGAGATTTTGTAGGAGACAAACTCATTTCACAAACATCAGCTTACAATGTTTCTTTTTGCTCATGCAATTTGTTCACTACCATCATCACTTACATACAAGAGAAATACAACTGCGTTGTTATAATTAGTGACATTCTTCTTGGATGAAAATTCTTTTGAAAAACAATACAATAGTCCTACTTGTATCTGTGGGAATTAATATTTATTTTTCTTCTCCTAGTATCATTAATATATCTAAATGTCACCTGTACATCCAATGGGAGTGCTCTCCCCTGTCCAGGTACCGGATGAAGTGCATGTGCAGATTCCGCCTAAGAAGTAGTGGTTATCCATGCAGGTAAACTCCACTTGTGCCCCGACTAGATACAAAACAGTCCCATTCGTTGTTATAATTACCATCTCGGATGCATTTGAAGCAGTCGCCATGCTTAAGGATGGAATAGTGCTGCAAACTGTAACCCATGAAATGTCTAATGAGTTTAGTCTCACTGATGTAACTGAAGTCTTATATGCTATCTTTTAAAAGTTGAACGATTGTCAGGTGTTCGAATTACTCAATTTTGTTTTAAGCAACCAGAGATTTACAGAAGTTAAAAAACAGCAAGTGTAAACAACAAGAACGTACGTGCATGATAACGTGAGCGACAAATATGAATAAATCAAAGATTCTCATGGTAATCACTGGAAAGTACATGAAGAACAAAATCAAGCGTTCCTGAACGCAAAGCGTTTTCTGTTTCATCCACTGCATCGGTCTTGTACAACTCTTGGTAAATCTATGTAAAAATATGACACTCTCCAATAAGGACTAGATTTACCACAATGACACCAGCTGATACACTAACGAGTTTTGAGAGCATATCACTTCATATTTCATAAGGAAAAAGATGATTTCCAATGACATGTCAGTTAGCCACCTTAAAGCATGATTTGTAACTAGATACAATAGTGCCAGTAACACAGTTGTTTCGTACTTCTAGGACTCGTCGGTGATGTTGAGGGCCTAAATTTTGAAACCTAAGCTGCGACCGTGAAAAACCAAAATTGATCACAAGAAATGTCAATGTTTGAATAAAGGCCTTGTGGAAAGAAGATATAACTCCCACCACAGAAGACATCCGCTGTAGGTTGATTGATTAGAATGATATTGAGAATGTACGATTAATTAAAGGATTTCATTTTCTTTTCGTATGATAAATATGTACAATTTCAATAATATTGTTGAATGTGGCAACATGTGAAAGGTCTATAAAGAAATATTAAAAGAATATTACAAACTTAGACCAGTTACCGTTTAAAGTCATGCAATATCATTTTCCCTTAGATTTCAGAAATTAAGTTTTTTCCTATGTGATAAATAAGTACAACTTCAATGCTATTGTTGAACGTATCATCGGTTTTAGGTTTAACCAATTAAAACAATAATGAGAACACGAACCAATGTACGTTTAAAGTCATGCAGAACATAACAATACATATATTAGGCATAATGTTATAGATTCACGATAATGACAGTGTATTGGAATGCATGACATAACAATACATATATTAGGCATAATGTTATAGATTCACGATAACGACAGTGTATTGGAATGCATGACATAACAATACATATATTAGGCATAATGTTATAGATTCACGATAATGACAGTGTATTGGAATGCATGACATAACAATACATATATTAGGCATAATGTTATAGATTCACGATAATGACAGTGTATTGGAATGCATGACTTAAAAATTTTACTGCTCCTGTCCTTAGACGTTCGTACTAGTTCTACAAATATGTCTTTTGTTCAAATCGTTACCCATTTCAGCGATTTGAGTTTAAATAGAGTTTCGTTTGGATTGTATGGCAGAATTTTTTTCAGTTCTGATTTGGCTGTAAAACCTCATTCTCTGCAAGATATTACATTGAACATAATTAATATGATATTCAAGTTTTTGTTTTAAATAGATATAAGACGTACATTGCAAAGTTTGGAAAACATTTGTAGTTAACGAGCTTCATGTTGATATCTAGTCCTTTTACTTAAGCTTTGTTTCGGAATAGATGAGTTATCCTAACCAAGGTGCATCTTTAGGAGTAAAACCATACTCTTCTTAGTGTATAATTTGTTACGTATCAGAAATTCTTGTTTTCAGAAAATATCTGCATGGATATAAAACAGAAATATCATGAATCAACTATTCGATTTTGTTCATTAAACAGTTTGTGTCTTAAGAATATTTATCATTTATCAAATAACAAATCATTTACGCAATGCATATTGTTTATCAATGTGGAATATGTTCTCATACTACATACACAACAAGAAGATACTGACATATACAAAAACTATTAATCAAAGTGAAGTAAGATCAAACAAGCGGAAAACATTAACATATCTATGATTACAAACATTAAGAAGAAACCTGAAAACGTACAACGAAAATGAGATGAGATCAATTTATTCTATTGAAACTTTCTCAAACTGAGATAAGTGATAAGACAAAAGACTGGACATGCATATGAATACATCATAGATGTTGTAACAAAGTGAAATGCATATCACCATATCTGGTGAAGTTGATTCCTGTTGTTTATATCTTAAGCCTATAATGTTGATCAGTTGATTATTACAGTCCGTGTTAATCATAAAATATCTATCATCACATCAGATATTGCTAGATTGTGTAAGTGTACACGTTTCTACTTTAGTCTGAACGAATTAATTTGTTTAGTGATGAAAAATAAACGGCATATCGTATCCATGGTGATTTCTTTATGGAAGCCGCCATCTTCAGCTATCATTGCTGAAATTCTATCCAGTGATGTAAATGCTAAATGTTAAATAAGATTAAGATGTTATTGACGAACAAACATTGCATATTCCAAGTACTTGCATTTTATTTTAGTAGAAATATAGGCTGTCTCTGACAACAATTCGAATTGTTTTATCGTCAAATATGGAGCTGCACGTCAACTGGCGTTTGAGTCGATATGGTAAATTTAGAGTCGAATCTAGCTTACCCAGATTTCAAATAGATTCCGGATCATTTAAGGAGTTTAAGATTTGTTATTGGTGTCTGATAAAATTCAGAAGCGTTTGGAGTAACTTGGTTACGTTGGCAACTTACAATTGCCGCGGGTTGCCAAAATGACAGCCCTCAAATATTAAAGGCGCTTTTCACGTGCATTTTCTTCAGTAGCATCGGGTTCACTGATCTAAACATACTTGGTAATTATACCAAGAGAATCCAACCTAGATACACCAATTCATTAGTTAATAACATCTACTTCACTCAGTCACGTTTGAAGTAAGTTCCTCTGATAGGCCAAAGTTTTCACAACCTGTTTCTTAAATATTTTCTACTTTTGGCAAATACTATAAGACTATTTCTATAATTTTAATGTACCGAAGTTGTAGTATTTCTGCGTCATCACGGATTAAAGTCGTTATTTATAATAATAGGATATTATAACTGTTTACTTAATTTAGGAGTCGTGGTTTCATTTGATTTTATTTCAGAAGATAAAAGTAACAAAAATGAACTAATTATTTATTGTTAATTCCCACAAATACATGTTTAACTTACTTACTGCTGTGACTATTTGGATTGCTTGGGGTTCATAAGTTCTTTGAGAATCAGGAGATATTTTTATTCATAATAGTTAAACGGTTAACAGTAAACGAAACTAGAGTGAGAGATTACTATGTACTTTCGGTAGTTATTGTGTTAACAATGAATTTTACCAAATAACCAAATGATAACATTTATACTTTAAATATGGCCTCTGTCATTTATTTATAATATCAAACCTAACTAAATCTACGTTAGTATTTGGAGTACCAAGATATCTACAGATGGGTCCCTTATCTCGCCAGGATTGACAGAAAATTTACATGTGACAGATTCCAAATAGTCAGTTACTACTATTCATTAGAGGAAACCGAAGGCGAAAATCGTTACAATGTATTCCTTGATACCCAGGAAACATATTTTGATTTTAAAATTTATGATAACATAAACAAGCTAAACACAATAAGAAAAAGATAAAGATGATATGAGATACCTTCTCTCGTGAAATATGTCACTGTTGATGAAATATTCGCGCTGTAGTTTTCGTCAATACTCCCCTCGAAAGTTCGACAGGTGTTTGTCTGTTTTTCATACGAAAACGTCAAATGTCCCAACTCAGTACAGCTAGTTGCACAGTCCAGTGTTGATGATGTGTCAGAGACCAGTTTAAAGTGTACTCCATCAACATCGTCATCTTGGAAATGATTTACAGTTTTGTAATCAAACTGGTTAAATACTGTTCCGGACAGCGTTCCCAGAGGAGAACACAAAATTAAAGTTACTAGATTCATGCATAGGAAATTTGACATGTTTTGTTACTATCACAAACCCTACATCGAAATCACATCAAACGTTTGACACTATCCTTGATACCTGCTCCGTTCCACTGATCGCCGTCTGTAAGCACATGGTTAAATTTGATAATTGTTTTTACTGTCTTTTTCATTTTTTGGTGTTCCGTTGATAATATTTCACGGCACTATTAACACACCTTTAAAACTGTCAGCTTCTACAACAACCCTAATTAACATAACTCATATATGTTGATAACGATCGTTACAGCTCCTCTGTGACGCATGTTACATTGACAAATAACAGAAGAGAGAAATACCTGAAAACGGTCTTGTATCTCTGTGACTCCAAGCATTTCCATTCTCTGGATTACTGAACAGTTTTGATAGCAATAATTGCATTAATATGCAAATGAAAACATCATGGGGTGTCACAGTAAAGTATAAAGATTTTGTTTAGTTTTATATATTATTTTAGGATATCCATTAGCACACAACACATATCACAAATGTGTGTCTTCACATATGACTAAATTATTTACTATGTCAAGAAAATGTATGATCATGAAAAACGGTAACGAAATATTTTATGACTATTCCTCCAATCGATATCAGAACTAGTTTTAATTGACAAGAATTCAAATACTCAATTTTTTAGCAAACCTTTGGAGATAATAGTTTGATACAATCAGAGCAAAAACTGTTCAGCAACTTTACATTCAATAAGGAGCTGTGACCTTTACCTGGGTAGGTTTCGCGAATCATAAAACGTTTACAAACATATGCTTCTTTTCAAATTTGAAATAAAAATATTATACTGTCTCTCTTTTCGTTGACATTTTTTCTTTTGTTGACTTTTTACGCATTGCCGTATGGGCTAATATTTATGCATGTATATAAAAATTACCAATAAAGGCTACACTGACAAAACCGTGGCAGGGTATTAATAACTTTCTGTATCGTAAATCACTATATCATCTGCATTTTGTATCTAGATATGGTTTTGTGTAGATGCAATACGCGCATTTGTGTAGATTCGTATGACAATTATTTTTACCAAATGGTGAG